AAAAGTTTGTGCAATTTAGATCACTCGTTGTGGCACAATTTGCATTTTAAATTTAGTAATTTTTTTAAAAATTTTCAACTGTCCAGTGACTGTACATATATATATATATATAATATATAATATCTACGTTTTAAAATAAAATTATTCCCAAGAAATGGTAAATTCTCCCGTTAATTCAATTCCTAGTCCTTTAATTATTAAGTTATCCATTTCAACTACCACATTCTCTGCAATTATTTCTTTTTTTAATTGTACATCAATTCCATCAGTTACTAATGAAGGCAATGATGGCGGTGACGACGAAACAATAAATTTAGTTTTTTCATTCAAATTAAGTTCTTTACTACCCAAGAAAACGATTTCATTCACAAAAGCTCCTTGACTATCATGATACCCGAAAGTACCTTCAACTTTTAATTTTTTATTTTCTACAGTAAAGGAAATCAATGTATAATTGTTTCCAACTTTTTCTAATGGAGTTTCACCATCATCTAAATATAAATTTCCTTTGGCTTTTCCTTCTTGATCTAATGCAATTTGTAATTTGATTCCACTCTTTCTACATTCATAAATTTGTAATCCGACTTGACAATGCATAGGAATAATTGATCCACCTCGAATATGTATAGGTATTACTTCTATCGGAGCATCTAATTCAATCCATTTACCTTGATCCCCTTCATAAAATATTTTACCCGATATAAAATCGTACCATCTTCCGGCCGGAATATAACCAGTTACTTTAGTAGATTCACTTTCAAGTACTGGGGTAACTAATATACTTTCACCAATTAAATATTGACGATCAATATCCCAAGTATCTTGAACATTTGGATCTAAAAACCATAAAGGCATCGTGACCGGTAAACCTTTGGCAGAAGAAAAATAAAAGATAGTATACCAATAAGGTAATAATTGATATCTAGCATGTATCCAAATTTTAGAAATTCGTTCAACTTTCTTTGTCATGTAACATTCTTGTCCTGGCATATTGATAGCATTATGATTTCTACAAAAAGGATAAAAACTACCTAATTGAAACCAACGAATGGCAATATTTTCTTTACATTTTCCATTAAATCCACAAATGTCGGCTCCAACCATGGGTATACCAAAAAGTTGAAAAGAAAGGATTCCGGAAATTGAATTAATTAAATCATTCCATTCGGAACTATTATCACCTAACCAATGAGCGGCATATTTTCCACTACTAGGAAAAGTGGAACGAGATAAAATGAAAGGACGTTGATTAGGACGAATTGAACTTAAAGCATGAAAAGTGGCAATTGCTTCCATGTGTCCAAATAAATTATGAGCATCATATTCTTTAATTCCCGTATGATGAAAAGCATCCATTGGAGATGTACGATGAAATAAAGGGGATTCAGTACCACAGTTATTAATTGAATAAGGAGGATTATTAACATCCAAATTAATAATTTCATCGTTGTCATTTTTATTATCTAAATCTTCAATAATATCAGGTTCATCTACAACCATATCAGTGACAGTTTGATCAGCGGAAGGAATCATGACTTTATCATCTCTACGACCGATATTAGTTTCATGAGATAAATCACCATTAACGAAATTTGCGATTTCATTCATATCTTATGATGATTAATAAGAAAGTATTAATATCACATACGATAATAATAATGATAATAATAATGATAGATAATAATAGTAATAATAATAATAATAATAGTAATAATAATAATGATAGATAATAATAGTAATAATAATAAAAATAATAAGATAATACTAACCAATCCAAATTCCATCGATAGGAACTTTATCAAGCCATTTACGAATAGTTTCTTTCCAATATTCTTGAGATTCGGGATGAAACCAATCAGGAAAAACCGTGGTTCCGGGCCAAACCTTTCCCACGAAATCTTCACCATCCGCTCTCTTGATAAATAAATCTTTCTTTCGACCTTCTTCATATGGTTCGAATCCTTTTAGAATCTTGATCCCGGGATCCACGATGGCCACCAATCTTTGATTATTTTGATGAAGTGATTCCGCAAATTTCGCAAATTGATCAGGAGGAAAATGTGATGGGGAAAAAGTAAATGGTTTATAAACATCCATATAATCAATATCGATCCATACTGCGTCTATAGGAATATTTGCTTCTTTATGACGTTTAACTGTATCTTCTAATTTAGGAATAGTGTCATATCCCCATCTACATTGATGGTATCCAAGTGACCTGAAAAATATATATATATATATATATATATATATTAATATTTATTTATTTTAATAATATGTATATTTCCTTATGGATTTTTATTTAAACTTACCAATAAGGAATAAAATAAGGATTTCCAATCAATTCTGTATACTGTTGAACCACATCAATAGGTGAAGGACCCATAAATATATAAAAATCAAGAATTCCTCCAATAACTTTATAAGTTAACTTTTCTTCTTCATAAATTACATCCATTCCATTCGAATTTAAAAGAAACTAAATAATAATAATATGTATATCATAAAAATTATAAAAAATGAATTAATTGATAAATGCTTATTGATGATGTAATGTTAATATGACTTACAACTCCATGTGCTTTTCCATTTCTCAATTCAACATAATAAGGATGAGATCCATATAAATTTTCTCCTTCATAACATTGAGCATCTAATAATTAATAAATAATAATAATAATAATAATGATAATAATAATAAATTAAAATTATTAAAATTATTAAAAATTATTAAAATTATTAAATTATTAAAAATTATTAAAAATTTTAAATAATCATCATTATTATTAATAATAACAATCAAATGAAGATCATCGGATTGATCTTCAACCGACATAGAGATTCAAAATTTTTTATAATAATAAACAATCACAACAACAAACAAAAATAATAATAATATATAAGATAAATATTCAATTAGCATTTTTTGAAATAATATTTATTATTATTATTATTATTTATAAATATATTTTTTTATATGGGTTACCTCTTGCCCAAATTGTCATCCTAGATCCCACATTCCTTTTAAATGATCCGGTGGTTTCTCCAAATCCATAAATATTTGATCGTGATGGTAATTTGGTGGAAATTTCAATATATTGATTTTTAAATATAAATCTTTGATTGGTAGTATCAAAGATTCTTTCATTATCACACTTTCGTTTAATATAAAATCCGAAAGGATTTGATTCATAACCAAATTCATAATCAAAATTTGTTTCTTTATTGGTAGGATTTTCATTTAATTTAACCACTTCCTTTGGAACTCTCCAACGTTTTTCTTTTAAATCCGAAATACAGACTCTAATTCTATTGGTGGTTTGATATTCAACCTTGAACATAAGATTCTTAAGTTTCGTTCCATACTCTGGAATTGAGTCACGATGATCTGGTGGAAGATTCAAGGAGGCAGTAAACCGTGTGTCAGACGACTTGATATCTTTTAAATGATAACCAGTCTGTCTAGATTCATCTTGAATTTCACTTTATTAAAAAAAAATAATAATATAATCGATAAGTATCAAAATTATATCTATAAAAATATATGTATATATACATACTGTGATGACATTATGAATTTTGATTAAAAGATTTAGAGGAAATAAAATAAGAAAAAAATTTTGGGTTTCATTATCTTTATTTATGATCTAATAAATAATTTCCTCATCGGGTGAGAAATGATTACTTAATGATCTATATTATCAGAAAATTCCATTAAAAATTACTAAATATATTATGTTATGTGATGTAACAACCGAAGATCGTATTTACAAGTGCAGTAGTACGATTTTGAAGTCAGGTGACTGATCAATTTATTCAGGAAATTCGATCTGCCATCACATATTCGAATAATGTCAAAGCAATTTGTTAATCGTCTAATCGTGTTCACATTTCGTTTGATCTTCTTGCAAAATTTCGAACCTAATGCTATTTCGAATTGGAACAAATGATTTCAAAAATGCAATATAGGTAAACAATTATACACCAATTTTTACCACGTTTTAATAAATCACTAATATAAAACGTATTAGTAAAATCAGCGTAATAGTACGAATTCGTTATATATTACGGTCGCCGATAATCTATTGCACCCTATATATATATAGGTCGGCCTTTACATTGTATTTTCTTGTAAAAATAATATTACAACTATTAATAAAGTAGTATAAAAAATTTTTGCGATTACTTTCATATATAATTTGATCGTCAATCTGTGCACATTACAGGCTGATATTTTTTTCTCAAACTCAGACATATCGACTATTACTCTTAACTGTTTAGTAGCGTGAAAAATCTTCTAACGCTTTTCTAGTCGAGATCAGTGACTATAAACCAATTTGTTTCCTCAAAGAAGTCATAAAAGAGAAGAGAAAAAACCCGAGTTCGATAATTTTGCACCAGACAAACTCAATTTATGGAAAGCCGATATTCCCACGGATAACAAAGCCGATAAATTAATCGCTGTCCAAACTGCCAATGTCAATATAAAGGGTAAAGAACTGATCTCTTTCCTACCTAACCCGCTAAGAAACATTTACACATCATCGTACAATACCCCGATGAAAGTAAAGAGATTCTCCGCACCGCCATGTATAGAAAAAATTCTCAGTGGATGGTTACTCGGCAAACGGTGTCTTTCCCATTTCTAGAAAGGACAGAAGAGGACATATTTCAATAAGTCGTGCTGTAGTTGATAAAAAGAAGAAAGTCAAAATCTGGCAACGGCACGAATTTAAGCTCTCAGAATGAAACAGCAAACGATGAGACAGTAGAGGGTTCAACAGAATGTAAAATTTTTTTTTTTTACTGACAAAGATTTATTGGGTATCGTCTAGAATACTGGCGGCTTCCAGATAATCTGGAAATAATTGTAGATACATGTAAGTTAATACACATATCTTATACCAATTTTTTAAATATTTATGCCTAATTTTTTTTACAGCTCAGAAACCATTTTCATCATATAATTTCCAAAAGATGAAAGAACTCTCCAGTTTGAAACCTGATAACCTTGAAGAATTATCAACTATCAAAATACAAGAATCATCAATAATGGATAAAATTGAAGAGATCATAGATAATTTAATTACATTCCCGTCCATTGTTATTGTTCCAAATGAGGCAACCCATTGTCTATTTTATTGAAAGAATAATCTGTAATGTAATGATGGGAAAGTAAAATTTTATCCTCAGTATGTAGTTTGCGGGACTCATGGTTAAAGGACTTATAGATTGGATAATTAAAATAATCTTAGTTACGGTGTTAGTATGGACTTTATGATATGGGAATTATTAAAACAAATCAAGAACTCCATTTAGCTAGGAACAAATCGAAAAAAAACGTAATACCAAAAAGAAAAGATACTTTGTCTCTTTATTGATACTTATATTCTAATATAATAGAATCCAGTTGAAGAATTAACCCTTAGCCAGTCAAGTTATTAGAGACAATTTAATTATTGTCAAGGAATACCGGAAAATCTAAAAAAAAAAATTATGGTATGTATTCTGGATTTCATCTATTGTAAAACAATGATATTCACATACTTATACATACATAACATTTAATAAAGTTTAATGAAGCTAAAAAATATTTTTATATGTGTTGAAACACTATGATCCGCATATTAGATACTATAATTTAAATAGCAAGAAGAAAACTGATAAAGAATCGATTCATTTTGACCTCATCATCGTTAGTACCTATTTACAAAAAAATAAATTATGCATGATATTTGAAATACAATGACATACACGTTATTGGCTCGTATGTCCAAGCGCAGCAGATATCTTTTTATTTAAAACCTTAATAATTATACAATCAAATATTTTCTTGAAAGAAATTTAAAATAGATATTGTTGGAAATTATTTAATTTGTGAAATATATTTTTTCGACCCTTTACATCCTCCTTCTTAATACATTATTATTAAGTTTTGATTTTTTCTAATTTGACTTTAACCATAGTATGGCATACTGTATATTTTTTGTTATCTTTAATAAATTAATAAATTTTTATATTTTTAATATTGTATTGTAATTATTACATTGCTAACTATACTATGTCGAATTGGATTATACTTTGAGAAGATATTCTTTTAAATGATATATGCAGTAAATCAAGAATCAAAGGTCTGTGATCCTTATTAGCGTAGTCGTAACCGAAAAATGTTGTCACATTATCATTTGCCAGAAAACGATATATTGTTGCAGTCAAATCATCTGGAGGAAAACCTTTTTCTAGGGATTTAAAATAGTCACTACTCAGAAATGCTTTGTAAAATGTAAATCTTGTTCCAATAACTCTTGTCGCATAGACCATTTGATCCTTTCTAAATGTAGAACTGTAAGCATTGTCAAAATTAGTGAAAAAGCACATTCGAGAATTTCAGCCGATATTTGTATTCTGTTGAACGAGTTAAAGTGTATTATGTGTTTATCCTCCTATACACAAAATTCCCCTATTCTTCTCTATGCTGAATTTAACCTTGGCAGTCACTTTTTTTTTGAGTAAGCTAAGGTTAAAGTCTGATTTCAGTCAAATTTAAATTCCGTAAGAATATAATTGACAAATCTCCCAAACGTCTGTGGTTAAACTTTATAACAACTCTATTAAGATACAGTGCAAGTGATTTTTCTTTGTTATTTTTTAATTTATCCAAAGTAGAACCCCTAGGTATTGCTAACAATGATCTTCTATCGTAAAATTACCAACAAGTAAATCATTATTAATCTCGATGTTTTCTGGAAGAGGGTCAACTATATCATTTGCTGCATATACATTTTTATAATATATGCTTGGAGCTTCCTTATGAATTGGGAGAAAAAAACCTTGTATTACTTGATAATTCCTGGGATCTTTCAATTTGACGGATTTTGTTTTATAGGAAACTATATTAGGAATAACATTTCTTCTAAAGATAGCGAATTCATATTGGTTTTTTTAAAAGAAAAAAGGGTTAAGCAAGATTTACTATATACTGACAAATTTTATTATTACACATGCCACGTTGTCCCAATCACATGTTTCGAATACGGGGATGCAATTCTGAACTCACGATTAATCGCGAGTCAATGTTTTAGAATTATAGAATTGTTTAGAAAATTCTTTAAAGTCTCCAAATGAAAAGATTGGAATTATTGATAAATTGTTGGTATCAGTTCTATTACACAATAGCCGGATTAATAAATAAATTAGGAAACACGATTTACCGACACCTGATGAACCAGATATGAATCACAATTTTCTCTAGTAATTATACGATATAAACTTTGTAAGTATAGTGTGTGTTTCCAATTACTGCATGTAGTTTTTTTATCAGGGTGCTGAATTAAATTCATATCAATTTGAAGTTAACTCTTCTTGATTCATTTCCTGTTCCTCCAATATTGTTTTCCTGAGATCAAGGATCAATTCTAATATACAGTATTTATAAATAATAGATCTTGAAAAAAAAGTTGTAAAAGCCGTGTCATCCTAATTTGCAAAAAAAATTCAACAGTTTATTTTAGTAAAAAACTTACTTCCTGATTTTTGTTTCTTAGTAGGTTTATCTGAATCAACATGATTATTAGGTCTACCTGAATTAACATGAATGATAATATAAAATAAGGAAAAAAATGATAACAAGAAAATGGCATAAGTTTAGAAGACTATTAATAAAAAGCAAGTTATTTTATATTTATTTTGCGTTATGGTCCGGTGCAAAAAGATTTGTACCTTTAAAAAAATTTAATTTTGTCTATATATAAAGGCTTTTGAATTTTAATAATATATTTATAATTTTTTTATGTAATATAAGATATATTCTAATCTATCTTTTTATATAAGTTTTATTGTTAATTTTATGTTTTTACATAAAATTTATTAAAGCAAAACTTTTTGAATTTAAAAATTTTTTTTTTGTAATGTAATTTTATAAGTACATAACTGTATATCTAATAAACATTTATATTATATAAATTATATAAAAATTTTAGTAAATTTTTATATGAAAAAATTATTGTTAGTAAAATTTTTTATTTCACTTATAAATAATTGAAAGGATTATATTTTAAGGTATCCGATAATAATAATCTATTAACTTTTTTTAATCAAATAAAAAATATAACTTTTAATTTCAGGATTTCCACCTAAGTTTATTTACAGGGAAAATTATCAAACTATGATGCACTTTTTATCTTAATTACTAACATCGATAGGAAAAGCACGCATTACTGAATCCTCTTCAGCAAGACAAACAAGGCAGAAAAGTTCAATAGACATTGTGTGCTATATTTGATTTTTGGTGAAATATTTTTAATACAGTTGTTATGTTTATAGGATAAGCGAAATAAAATTCATGTGCAAATTTTCACAGATAAAAAATCAATTATGCATTATTTATAAAAAAATATATTTCATATTATTATTTTATAATACACTATATAATTGCTTTATATGACTAGTCATTGTATTGGATAGAATCATGAATTTGTAACAAAGAGGGAGGAACAAAGCATGATATAAATCATTATTGTCAAGAATAAAGTTTTTTCATGTGGGATCAAAAACATAACATAAAATGCTAAGTAACAATGAGATAATAATATAAGTTAAAGTGAACACAGCTGATAATATATCAAGGTAAACTTCTATTTATCTATCCATTTTCATTAATTGTATTGTCTTTGATTTCTATTATAAAAATTTTTAACTGTTATTTATCTAAAGTTTGTGAATATGTATATAATAACCATTGCCTTATCAAAGATTTCACTGAAATAATAATAATAAATATATTCATTTTTTTTTTAAATTGATGTTGATTTATTTGATGCTGCATACAATAGCAGTTCCTTTCATTGCAATTCCACCTTCTTTATTTTCAGCCCATGCTTCATAAGAAATATCAGTAGTATCTTTGTTAAAAGAAGTATTATAATTATTATGATTATGGTTATTATTTTTATCGTTATCATCATTATTATTTTTAATACATTTTTTTCCACAAATTTTAAATTCTTCACCAACATATAAAGGACTAAGTGCACGGTAAGAAAAAGATTTAATAATTAAATTATTATTATTGTTGTTGTTGTTCTTGTTGTTGTTATTGTTATTATTGTTATTGTTATTTGATAAATTGTCACGAATTAAATCCAAAAGGAGAGTACATGTAAGTGGACCATGAACCAAACATCCTAAAATATATATTAAAATAATAATAAATATAAATAAATGAATAAATGAAAAAAACAATATGGTATTTAATTTACCTGGATATCCTTCAACTTTAGTGGAATATTCATGATCATAATGTATACGATGACTATTAAATGTTAAAGCTGAGAAACGAAATAATAAAATTTCACTAGGATAAATAATTTTTTTAAATTCAGATTCTTTATTCGCTATGTTTTAATGTATGATATGTGTGATTATGTTTGGATGATATGTTTATATGATATGTGTGTGGGTTTAAAAGAATTAAAAGAATTTTTAGTTAATAAATAATATTTAAATATATTAATAAAATAAAATAATATTTTAAATATATTAAGAGAAATAAAATAAAATAAAATAGAAAGATATATATATCAGACATATTTACATTTAATTATTTTTCTGGGAGGTAATTTTGAATTTGAATCCTGAGGTTTCATATAAACTAAACATCTTGTATCTTTTAAACTCCAACCAAATTCATTTGAAATCTCTTTTTCCAACCAAACAAAAACTTTTTCATTCATTTCATCTCGGTTATGGTGATTATTATTTTGATTATTCGAACTAATTTTATATTTCACATCACGAATTTTGGTTGTCATTTGAACCTTTTGTCCAATTAATAAAGGATTTTGAGGATTAAATAATAATTCCCCACCTGCCCACATACGTTTGGTGAAAGAAGTTTTGAGGATTGAAGGAGGAGGGGAATAGCGAGTTTTATATCCATCCAGTGCCAATTCATTTTCATAATCTTTTGGTAAAAAATAAACCAAATGATAATTCGGAGGTACGGGTGTACCGAGGGGTGGTAATTCGGTTGAAGGAATATTATTATTATTACATAAAGTTTTACGATTTAAAGTTATTGATAATAATTGGATCGGGGTTGCGTATAATGTATCATGACTTGTATCTACAATTGTTAATGCCAAAGATTTCCAAGAAGAAATAAGTTTTTCAGTTGTTAAGTTATTATTTTTATCATCATTATTATTGTTATCGTTTTTGTTGTCTATCGAAGTGAAAAAATTACGTATATTATAATTTTGAGAAGAAGAATAATGATGTTTGAATTTAATCGAGGAAGAAAAAGAACGATACAAGGAATTTATGTTCATTGAACTATTGATGATATAATAAACTAGGAAATGGATGCCATATCTTAGTATAGATTTTAGCCCAATATTATTCCTTTTTCGGTGAAGTCACGGCGCGAAATGCTTTCGTCCGATTGGTGAATACTGGGAAAAAGATTTTCAAAACACTTACCCAACGATACTCTTTTTTGGGAAGATTTTCGTGACCCGAAATGGAAAAAAAAGGTCGAGGATTTAATATAATCGTAATATTTAAACCATACTCGATACCATTGATACCATTCAGAAGAATAACCCCGAGAATAGCTGGCATTTATATAGTGAAAAAAAATAATTTTTTTTTTCATAATGATTCTTTGTTAATGATCATCACAATTGTAATTATATCGATATGTTAACAAATAAATAATTACTCGATTTCATGTGTATTCGTAACTTTCTTGTTTCTTTATTTTTTTTTTTTGATCCACCTAATTTTTAAATGAAGTACGAAAGATTAAAAAAAATAATTTAATTAATAATTAAGAAATAAAATAATTTAAATAATTAATAAATTAATAATTATTCAACAATACTTTTCCATTTTTTTTATTGTTATTTTTATATTATTATAGAATGCCAGCAAAATTACGTGCACGCTGTAATGAACGAAATAAATAACTACAATTTTGAGATCAAGTGACATTGATCCTGCTGAAATTATTTATCTATTTACAAATAAAAGTCTTTATTCTTCTAAACCAAGAAATTGAAACCAATATAGAAATTGGACAAGTAATACAGTATTACTTAAAGCTCCTAACCGTTCGGTTTGAACCAAAACCGAACGGCCAGTTCTGGTTCTGGTTCGGTTTGGTTCATTAAAATTCAAACCGAAAGATTTCTGTTTAGTTCAGTTCGGTTTCAGTTCTTTATTTGAACCAAATGGAAAAACCGAAACCAAACCAAAATATTTTTAGTTCATGGTTTTTTTTTTTTGGTGCTGATTTTATTTTGCCATTATTATAAAAAAATGAAATGAAAATCAATTAGTTAATGTAACTCAAAAAAAAAGATAATCAGATTTTAAATCTATCTTACTTTCTATTGCCGTTGCCATTGTTGTTACCGTTGCTGTTGCCATCATTTTTCGTCATCTAAAATAAAAATAAATTAGTTAATATTAATAAGTTCAAAACTTGGTAATGAATAAATATATTTTTGATTTAATTTAATTTAATTAATTTAATATAATTTAATTTGATTAATTTAATTTAATT